TTAACCTGAAATACATATTCAAGCCACAGCTATAACCATGGAACATTTTACACATTTTTAACTACAAAATAGTTTCCAAATGTTCGTAATGTTGATGAATTTTGACATAATTTGAACTTAAAATGTTTATACAAAAAAAAAAAACGTGTCTTTAATATTTATAAACAGTTTGATAACAACCTAACGAGCCTTTGTGGTGAATATTTTATTCAATTTTTAAGTTTTTGACCAAGCAAAACATTTTTTATTAACAATTATTTTAAGGAAATAATCGTTTATTTCACACATGGCTCAAATAAATAGCTAAAAAAAATTCAAAATATTTAGAAAATTAAATCATATTATGTAGGAAAAAATAATATAAAAACTTGTAGAAAAATCAATTCAAATTTATTAATCATTAATCTTATTAAAAAATATTTGTGGATTAAACTCATCCATTTTTTTTTTTTTAATTCCTACAATAGCAAATAAATAGGTAAATAATATGTTGAACCTTGTATTAAATTTTTATACCTTTGGTATATTGTATGCACTTTTCTTATAAAAAAGTAAAATGCATCTGCATTTGGAATATATATAAAAAAAACTATGAAAAACCTTGAATTCAATTTTCAAAGTATATGGCTGAGCAAAAAAGGTGTATGGAAATTCATAGAAAAAAACTGAAAATAACAAATCTAAAAAGGTCTATACTATTATGCAGCTTAACAATTGTTAAAATAAATTGAAAATGTTACGGTTTGTAGAAAATACTACTCTAACCATTTGGTGTAAATTTCAAGTAATTAAGCGGTTATTCGTTTTTGGACTATACCAAAAAAATTTAATCTATTTTTTCGAAGTCACCAAATGATTTTGCGTAAAAAATTCCTTCTTACTATAGTTACTTTTTCTTACATGAACTTTAAATGTTTTTATCTTACAATGCAGCATTTCAATGCAGAATGTTTTAAATGGTATTTTTTACTTAAGAAATTTGCATCAGGAACATCATTCCAAAATCAAATCGTTCGTTGATAGGTATTATTTGTTTGTTTTGCTTATTACGATAAACGATGGGAGCCAGAGGAGAAGTAATGCTAACTTGGTCCCTCCTCTGCAGGCTCTCGATGCCAAAAAAAGAAAAAAAAAGGTATTATTTTATTTTTTATTCAAAATTAAGCTGTAAAATACAAGAATTTTTCAGATTGTAATCTGTAACCAATGGTGACCAACCATTTACCAGCAAAAAAAAAATCTTTACAATTTCCTTCGTGAATCTTAAAATGATAGTGTGAGCATAATGTATTTAAATTGTGAATTTCACAATAATCATTCTTAGTGTTTACTTACATCGTAAAGCTTTCGTCTGACAAAGTTCCAAGTCTCCGACTATTATGGTTTATACGTTGATTCTCCGTCAGTCATTAGGTCATTAATTTATTCTGTAAGTCAGGGAAAAGTCACTTATACATATGGAGAAAATATAATATTTTTAGGCAGGTAACAGTTGCAACGTAATAATCAATAATTATTTAATAGATTATTACTAATTATGATATTTTTAGGTACGTGACAATTGAAACATAATATTATAATTTATAATGCGATCATAAATAGCGTTTAAATCAGGCTTAATGTTCTACTTATGATAATAAGTAATAATAATTTGGAACATTTCAACAGGTTTTATTAATTTTAAATTCTATGCTGGTATAAAAAAATATACAGGATTATAGGAAAAACTGCAAAGTTGTCATAAAAAATGAATAAATAATTAGTGTAGGTACTGAAATATTCTTACTACGGTTGTGTCGCGCCGTTTATGACCGTTTAGTGAAAATTATGCTAATTGTGATACAGTGTAAAAAAAAAAATAATAATAAATAAAATGAATTCAAACAACTATAAAACAAATAACAAAGTGTAACCAGATACCAGTAATCGTCCAGCAACTGAACGAATGCTCAAACATACGAGCAGTACGGTTCAGTTATCTAGTGACAGCGTGCAACATTAGTGGTTTAACTCTTCTGCAGGTACATGGTTCGTTTATTCATTTTAATATAGTCATCAATATTTAGTTATACGGTTGTGTGATAATATTGTATATTTATTCGTTTTTGGTTCATCGATAATAATATTATTTAAATGTTAAACAAAACTAATCAACAAAAATAAAATCATGTGCGATATTGTAATATTATAATAATATACGACGTGATCCGTTTGAGCGTCCAGACGTCTACAACAACAATCGTCGTTTAGAAAAGTCTCAACTGTTATTTTCATAACACAATTGTTGGTGTCCTTGCAAGACGACATTTTTTTAAAAACTTTATCCTCATAATTTTTTTTGCGTTTTTAATTTATCAAATTTCGATTTCGACATTTTTAATTTATGTAGTTAATCACAAACAATTTTACCGATTATTACGATACACACAAATCGAATTTAAAAAGAGTGATTTTTTTTTAATTATTTACAAGTATTTAAGATTTGATGAAATGAGTAAGTGTCGGCACTACTGAGAAATCACCGTGACGGAATATTCCCGGAGTTCAAGATAATGTAAACATTTTTAAAATATTCAGTTATTATTGACAGTCGTGTCTTTTGATTTGTATATTTTTCATATAAGTATAAAAAATATAATATTACTTCGTATATTTTAAAAGTTTAAAGATTTATTTGAAAATCTTATTATAGTATATAAGAATATGATAAGTATTGATCACTAGGTACAGTTTATATTGTTAGTTGAAAATAGAGTGATTTTGTTCAGAGTAAGTACCTATGTCCTATATTGTATTATAAACTGCTCAGTTACTGATAAAATATTTTCAACTAGTTCTTAGATTCTAAAGGACCGAGAAAAGTGTAAACAAAAAATCGAATAATAGTCACTCAAATGTTTTGTTGTCTTAACTCACTGGGAACGCCAACAAAATATTATAACAATATATACCTTGTGGTTAGCTCCAAATTTATTTTATCTTTTCACTAGTTCCCATGATTGATGGCAACGTTATTTAAATTTTTTAGTATTTTACCTCAAGTGGTGGATACTACTTTAGGTGTGGCTATAATAATATAATAAGTTATTATACATTTGTATGGCATCATTTGATAATATTAATACTGATTTTCTGCGGTATTTCAAGTTTTCGTCGTACCTATTTATTTAAAATAGATAATTTCAGTGTATAGAATTTTTTTGTTTAAATATCAATGACATTTAAGCTGACTCATTTTATAAATCGTACCTATGAGTTTAAATTTTTTAGTATTAGTAGCTTAAAATATTTATTGGATTAAATTTTTATTGGCACATAGGTACATAATGTTTATTATTTTTTTGTTTATATCAGAGAACTTAAATCGATTAAACCAATATAGCATAATATTTTAATATACATTATATATGTTCCAATTGAAATCAAATGTCATATTTTTTTATATTTTTAATATGTAATTTTCTTATTTACTATTTAGTATATAATATAAAAACGGCTGACATGTTCTAAAAAAAATACTTAATAGATTTGTGCATTAATGAGTTTCTAGTAAATAATATGCTAATACAATATTAAGTGCTACATTTCATGCGGCTTAAAACCAGTTATTGTTTCATTAAATTACGGATTAAAAAAAAAAAAATTATTTTCTTTTGCAATGTTGCAGAAAATACCAAAAACGATTACACCAATGTGTGTTTAATTTTAATCAATTAAAGATACATTTTGAAAGTATTATTCATGGTAACATCATTTCATGAGCAACTAACAAAAAAAATTATAAAAAATTATAAATATTATCTTGTTTCCTTAAGAATCCATATTACAAATATCTATACAATTCACTAATATTATGGATTCAAGTAAAAAAAAAAAAAAAAAAAACAGAGGAACTCGCATCGACACTGCAACTAATATACTATAAGTTTGTGATTATTGTACTTCAGCCCAAAACAATATACATTATTTAGAAAAACATTATTTAATAGTGTAGTACGACTTAGAAGTTTACACACAATCATTAAGGAATTAAAAAATAACTATAAATGCATTATTCTCTTTTAAAAGAAAAATCGTATTTTTAAACATAATATCTATTGGATAAACATTCGAAAAATAGAATATTATTATTGCTTGGGATATTATTTAAAGAAATTACAGGTACCAATATATAATATTGTGTTTAAGTAATATTATAATAACATAACAACATTTTACGAAAAATGTAAACCAAACAGTTTGAGGTTATAATTATTTTGCTATTTTAGGTATAATGTTGTGAATTAATTATATCATAATTGTTCGAAAAAGAATTCAACCTTAACATGTCAAAAAAAAATATTCTGTAATATACAATTTGTTAATAATCATAACTAAAATACATTTTTTTTATCAGTTCATAAATACTCGAATGATCTTAACTTTCATTTGCAAGAAGGTTTAATTTTTTTTCTTATAGTTAAGATTTTATTAACAAGTTAATATGAACCTAATTAATTAACTTAAAAGTTCTTGAATGTCGTTTGAATTCGTCCTAAAGCTTATATAGATTTAATGTTAGATTTCCAAGTGTAGTACGAACATTATTAGTAGGCTGCAGCGTATCTCGAAGGTTGAAAATGGTTAATTAGCATAAAAAGTATATATTTAAATATTCTACTGATACGAAGTAACTAATCGTAATTAGTTAATTTCCTTAACACACCATGAAAATACTCCTTAATGTCCTCAAATGAACAATTCGTATTTCCAATAATTAGTGTACTCGGTCGTTTGACTACCTATATACTTAAAGCACGCATATATTGTAATATTTGGCAAATTATTGTAGGTATCTCTGGTATAGTCTGTTATATAATAATATAATATTATTGGTATTATTTTAATTTTCATTGTACTCATATTATAATTACGTGTACTTCCAGGGCAACATTTTACCTTGAATGACTTACAGACCAAATCATCATATTATACGCACGAATTGACACACGGCGACAGACATGGAGATATCGGCGTTTTTAGTGTTCGCCACGTGGCTCGTTTCTGTGCAGCAGTGTCTGACGTTAAATTTAAACGCACTGTCATACCTTGGTGATCGTTACCGCACAAATCTCATACAATTTAGAGAAGACCCTTTGTTCGGTAATAAACCGATACTCGACGAATACGACTTTATCGTGGTTGGATCGGGGGCGTCGGGTGCTACGGTTGCCAGGAGGCTGGCCGAAGTACCCGAATGGAAAATATTACTGCTCGAGGCTGGCAAACAAGAATCGATTGCCACTTCAGTGCCGGCCATAGCTCATTATTTTCAATTCACAGACTTCAACTGGGCTTTCAAAACCGAAGAGGAACCGAACGCCTGTCAAGGCGTCGTAAACAAGAGATGTTTGTGGCCCCAGGGTAAAGGTCTCGGCGGCAGTACGATCATCAACAACAACATATACACCCGGGGCAACGTAAGAGACTTCGACCGTTGGGCCGAAGCTGGCAACCCAGGTTGGTCGTACAAAGACGTTTTGCCGTATTTTTTGAAAAACGAAGACGTCACTATTCCGGAACTTAAGCGATCCCCGTACCACGGTGTCGGTGGACCAATGCCGATAAGTTATTCTCCGTTCAAATCGCGACTGGTCGAGGCGTTTCTGGAGTCCGCACCGCAAGTCGGGTTGAACGTGGTGGACTACAACAACCCGAATAGCCACGTCGGCTTTTCGAGAATCCAAGGCACGATAAACTTCGGCAGACGGGTCACGTCGGCCAGAGCGTATCTGCGAGGGAACCTGACCAACTTGCACATCGTCGACGGAGCATTCGTTACGAAAGTACTGATCGATCCGAATACTAAAGTAGCGTTGGGCGTGGAATTCGAAAAGGATAACAGGAGACGAAGGGCCCGAGCCAGAAAAGAAGTGATCTTGTCGGCGGGCGCTTTCAACACACCGAAGCTCTTGATGTTGTCGGGCATCGGGCCCAAGGAACATCTCGAACCACTGGGAATAAACACCATAAGCGATCTGCGAGTCGGTGACAACTTGCAGGAGCATCCTTCGTACGCGAACTTGGCGTTCACCGTCAATGAAACGGTGGGATTAATACCCGAACGCATATACAAGCAAGGGATACGCGAGCTTTTCAATTTCTACGACGGAAATGGCTGGCTTACGACCATGGGCTGCGAAGGACTCGGATACGTGAAAACCAAGTACAACAAGGACCCGGGGGACGTGCCAGACATCGAATACATTTTCGTTCCGATGTCCCTGGCCGGCGAAGAAGGATTGGGAAACAGTTTGTTGAGAAGAAGCATGGGAATACCGGACAGTACTCATTACGATTTGCATAAAGGAATATTCAACAAGGACGGATGGACGATATGGACAATGCTCATGTACCCGGAGAGCACAGGACAAGTACGTCGAATGTATTATTATTATGAGCTATACGCATAATTATTATTCCGAATTATGTCTGTACATAATTTGTATATAACATTGTCTATGCGTTTAAAATACCGTTTTGTTAATTTTTCGTACTGTGATTACAGGTGAGATTGAGGAACGCCAACCCCTATTCGAAACCGTTGATAAGAGCCAACTTTTTCGACGCTCCCGTGGACGTGTTGCGCATCGTGGAGGGCATAAAAATGGTCATAGAACTCAACAAGACACCGGCTTTCCAGAAGTTAGGCTCCACCATGAGCCTGCGAACGATGCCGGGATGCAGACACCTGAGTTACGGATCGGACGCGTACTGGGAATGTTGTGTGAAAAGACTGACCATGCAGATGCACCACCAGTGTTGTACAGCGAAGATGGGACCGTCAACCGACCGAAACGCCGTGGTCAACTCACAGCTCATGGTCTATGGTGTTTCCAAGTTGAGGGTCATCGACTGTTCGGTCATGCCGACGATTACCGGTGCCCACACCGTGGCGCCGGCCTATATGATCGGAGAGAAAGGAGCCGATTTGGTCAAATCGACTTGGCTGAGACCGACGAGTTGAGATGTATAATTACAATGATATTGGTAGGCATTATTCATTATTATTATTATTATAGTTTCTAACTAAATCAAAAGACTTAAATTAGTTATAGGTTACCAATGTCGAAATCGATCGTATATGAGGTTATTGTATTATTAGTGCATAGTATTATTGTTTGCGATTTAAGTCAATTTGTATCGTTTGTTTGATCAATATTATAGTACAGAAAGCGTAGTGTATATTATTATTATATTTTATTTCACTGTACTGTTACTCGGTCGACGAAACTTGAAACATTGAAGTAAAAGGTAACACACTTCTGATCATTTTATACGTATATTCATTTTTAATATCATAATATTATGTACTTTTCTTTTATTTATATTATATTATATTCTTATTTAATATTTTATACTGTATGAATATTGATCGAGTAATAATAATCTATTTTAGTAGCGATCATCATACATCATTATATTATTATTATTTTGATGTGTTTATTTGTAAGTAGTTGATGTTCCGTAAAGAAAAGATAAGTATTAAAAGTGTTGCTTTGTTTATAAACATGATGTATTGTACATTTATATTATTATAATTATTGTTGAGCATAATGAAAGTTCTTAAAATAAATTTAAATTAACAATCCAAACACGATATTATTTTAAATGTTAACATAATATTATTACGGTTCGTTACTAAGATAAGACACAATATATTGTTGAATTTGTATAATACAATATAATATAAATAGTCTGCAATGTGGACCATTAAAAAATATTTGTATACATAATAATAATTATATTATACGCATTTAGTTTCTAAATAGTTTGACAATAATAATTATTAGTGACATTGGCATTGTATATAGTGTTATAGAAAGTGCTTAATAACAATATTATAGACTGACAATATATTGATCAGAGCTTGAATACATACTAATAATAATAATAATAATAATATATTGTACATTTGAAATCAGTATGATGTTATGTTATTAACTACAAACGGGAATTAAAATTATAATAGAGAAAAAGAAATTGTTCATTTCATATTTCGTAGCGGCACAACCGTCCCGACATCGGGTCAACGGTTTAATCGAATAAGTATGTAAATATTACATCCGTTGGACCATGGTAGAAAACATAAATCATTTTCAAAACCAGTACCTATATACAATATACATGCAGAATACTGGATTCCGGAGTCGTCGGCAATTCGTCGAGAAAATTAAAGCGAAAATGACTTTATAAGCATACCTACGACAATTTATTATAACAACGTAGAGGTCATGAACGTGTTCTGTGGTTAAACTCGCAGATCTATATTTATGAGTTCTGTTGTAAAAAAAAAAAAGAAAAAAACCGTTAAGACACAATATAACTGTATATCTAGCGATCGCAATCGCCGTTATTATATAACATTATTATGCCTGAAAAATTCGGTACTGCTTCGTGGGAATAAACTGGTTTGAAGGTCAGCATAGAATAGTCGTTAAAAAATCGTAAATCGGCGGGGACGAAGTTATTTTTTCAAAACAGATTTAAATTGATAACTTATTCGCAATAATTATAATACTATGCAAATCGATCGAACGAGCGCACACATGCAAGTATTAGGTAAACTCATTTTTGTCTATTTCTCCTATAGAAGGATAAAGTCAGTATGGTAATATTATCGTATACGCTAGAATTATTAATGATAATTTATTGATAATACGATTTCGCAAATTATTCATCATGACCTTTCGCCGTAACACGATTTTATAACGCTATTATTTTTAAGTAGATAATTTCGACAAAATTTGCACATTAGCACCGACCCATGGCAAACACGGCACCCTGATTATGTAAATTTTCTATTCGCATTTTCTTTATTTTAACATTAATATATGTTTTTCTCCCCCTCAAAAACTTATTTACGATTCATAGATTTTCCTTGCATTGGAAAAACACCGGGTAGCGTGAAACGTTATTATTTTTTGTTTTGTTACAAATAAATTGTGTCGAAATTAAAACTTACATTTAGCATATTGATAGACTTTAGTTTTAATTTCGAAAAAAAAATCGTTGCTACCTTATTGTTGAAGAATTTCAAATAAACGTTTATCTATCCACTACCTTACCATTGCCGAAATTACGAGAAAAAGTTTGATGTGGGCGGCGGTCATGGTCATTGGAGGAAAGAGCAGAGCTCATTTATTATTGTGGTTAGATGTTCTAATAGGAAATACACTGTTGTAGGTAAACTGCGTTTGCAATCGGAAGATTGTATCGAAAAAAATGTTAGAGCAGTGGAACCAAAATAATATACGATGGAGATTAGTCTCAAAGTATGGGGAAAGAAGGCGGCAAATTTGTTTGATGTGATGGTCTTAAAGGCCGAACCCCAAAAAAAGAAATAAAGGAGAAAACCACTATTTATAACGCGGTGTCTCTATTTTTGGAACATTCTAAGAAAACGATTTTGCGGTCAAACCCATAGCTGGTAGTTACGTAAATTATTTTAAAAAGACATTTTTTTATCGGCGCCTCCAAGCTAGCGTATTCACTTGTACTCATCTTTAAACGAGTGCGTGTGGAAAAAAAATATAAAAATTAGTATAATAATATCTTTAATCAAAAAAGATAAATTAAAATACAAATCGTTCGGGTTTCACGTGTTTGTGACCTTAATTCGACATAATCGGGCAATATCGGTAAATAAATAGTTTTCTTACATATTATAATTATTCCGAGATGTTTGTGTTACTGATAATAATTTTAAAAAAAATTAAGACCGATAATAATATAAGTCGTTATATTTTGGACTTAATAGCCGGTAGAGTAAAATATAAAAAGGACAAAGAACTCGTGTTAATACATATATCAAAATTCAATTTTGTACTAAACATTTATTCGGTACGAGTGCCAAATTTCAGTAAGTATTGAAGCGGTCATAGTTAAATCGATGAATTTTATTGTAAAAATATTGTTATACCTACGTTTGCCTCGTAATTTATAAATATCACTTCATACCGTGAAAAGTATACGCGGTAATAATATTACTATAATATTATATTATAATATAATTTTTTTTTTTGCAAATGTTATTCATATTTAATTCCAGCTCACCGTTTTTGTTTAAGCTTTGTTATTATGAAAAAAATTAAACGTTAATATCCGTACTTATACAACCTGTTGAAATTATAAATAATTGTTTGCGGATAGTTCACATAAATATTACAACTATAATACCCTATACCTACCTATATATCGTATTGTTCATAAAAAGTTTTTTTTTGTGTTTTTTATAATATGGTTAGGTACTTAGAAATAACAATTTCTTGTTGCGTACAACGTGTACATTATTATAAATACTTACAACGATTGTATTTTATTTTATATACAACAATTACATAGAAATATTTTTAAAAACCTGTCAGTATTTTTTTATAATATTATAATATTAATTTAAATGATCAAGTTATTGTCTACTATATTATATAGCTACAGACGTTTTAAAAAATAGATAACAAAACCAATACGAAAATGTGAGTTTAAAATTATAAAAAAATGAACGAGTTTTTTTTTTTTAAATCTAAATGTAATGTTGTGAACTTTTAGTACCTATAAGTACTACGCTATTAAAAAGCGTTTAATGATTTATTTATTTTTAAACACCATTCGTTATAACATAGTTTTCCGACAACTTAAATTGGTGCAAAATATAATAATACTTAACGGTAAAAAATCCATAACCTGAAACTTCTGAGACATTTTAACAATAATGTTGTAACGATAATGACGACTCGTTAAAATGATATTATTATCAACCGCTTAACGTCGAGGTCCGTCACTGCAACTGTATTTTGATAATTTTTTTTCGCTCGCACGTGAAAATTATAACCTAATGTCATACGACGGACTATTCCAAATCGGACGTCGGAGAAAATTGCTTTCTAGCGATGAACGACAGGTCCCGGTCGATCGGCTTCGTGTCGTCGTAGAGCGCCGGCGCTTCGCACAGGATGAGAATTGTGCCCATAATGGACGCGACCGTGAATATCCACAAGAATAGTCTGTCGAGCACCATGGCCACGAAGCCCCAGTCTTGATCTTCCTGTAAGTGGTTGTTAACGGATTAATTTTTTTGACGTTTAAAACGAACACCTAGATTAAGCGTGCTAGGTCTATAACAGTTGTAATCGAAGTGTCGCACTACACGGTTTGCACAAAATGCTCAACCATACTCTATTCAGGATAAGAATACAAATATTATACGAATGAATACCGATTACTGAGCTGAAACTAATTATCTTATTAATTATTCTGGGGTAGTTGTATGAACTATGAGCAAATACTAGTACATATACATATATATTATATAGTATTTCTTTACTAAGGACTAAGGTAACTGCCGGTCGCGGTGAATCACTCATCCCCGAATTCTGGCATTCTTATCCTGAATAGAGTATACTAGGTGGTGACTTGGAGTGGTTAAGCTGTAAGTAAAGGTAACTTAGGTCGCTTTAAGTCATACAAATGGTGCTGTATGCACTTGACAGTGTAAAAATAAATAATGTGGCAAGGTTGAAAAAAGTTTGGGAACCACTGACTAAGTCTATCGGAATACAGTGACATATCTATTAATCGAATCGATCGCTGATAAAAATAATTTGGTTTATCGAAAATTTGACTTGTAGACTTTTGGAGAAGTCGAGGTTCTACTGTAATTGTACTACATTTAATATCCTAAACGGAGTTCACACCTGCGGAGTACCTATCCGAGATTTTTGCGATTATTTGGAACGATACGATTTATTTTTTTGTCGTACTTTTTGGCCCTTATGTCTTCAACCGATACCCATAACGCGACTCGACTATGGTTGTAAATCTATGGTATATTACCGTGTTGTATTAGTCTCCTGGTCCCTGGCGCTGCACTGTATGAACTTGACGGTGTACACTTTTCAGACTTTAAGTAATGGTCACGAGGAAAAAAAAGTTTGGGAACCACCAACCTAGTCATTCGGAATGCAGTGA